AACCATATTTAAGTACTTATACTTTCTCTCAATTTTTAATTTGGCACCTATGTGTTTTTTTTCCTTTTAATTAAACATTTAATTTTATCTTTTTAATAACATTAGCTCTTATAACTTTGTTCTATTGATATTTTTAATTTCTACATAAGATTAATGATGTTAATAAAGCAAAATTAAAGATTTAGTTAAGAACAAAAAACACATAGGTACCAAATTAAAATTGAAAAAAAGTATAAGTACCTCGAATATGGTTTTTCTTTTTTAAAGTATACATTGACAACTGAAAGAGCATTCATTAACAGATTAAGATGTAACGATTAACACTATTGCGGAAGGTATTGACAACACATTTTCTCAATACATCACAAAAATATAATAAATGAATTGTTAATATTTGTAATGATAGTTATTAATCATTACATTTTAAGTTGTTAAAGATTATACTTTCAGTTGTCAACACCTACTTTTTTTATAAAAAAAAAAGAAGATAAAAGTAATTTGGTAATTAAACGAATAGAATGTCTGGCAATGAGGCCTTTGGGACTTTAGATTAATTTGATAATCTTAAAGGACCTTTTTATATTTAATTCTTTTGGGTAGGACCTCACTGCAATTTTCTCAAATACAAATGACGTGAAAATCATTTTAAACCAGATTTGCTGCATAGATAAAAATGGATCATCAAAGTATCAAACTTTCACCCACTTTAAGATATTCATTTAATTTTGAGGCATGTACATAAAAATATAGGCTTGCAATATATAGGTCTCTGAAATTAAATGATGGGTGAGTAATGTGGTTGAGACCCCAGAAAAATGGAAGTGTCGGTGTTAGAGCAGGTGATACTTGGCAGTACATATATATACATTGGACATGGTCTTCATGATCCAAGTTAAATTTGTAAGTGTGGCCAGCGGGGTTATATAAAAGAAAAGGGGGAAGGTGGCTTTAAACAGAAATGAAGGGCCGAATGTTTGGGGGAAAAATATTAAAATAAAGATGGGAAGTCAAGAACCAACACAGACACAGTCACGCACACACACACAGACAGCCATTGAGGAGATGCAAAAGCTGAGGATTTTAATTTAATTGGTTTTTTTTTGGGAGGGGGGGGGAGCCAAACAACGCGCTATGATACGAAATCTGAAAGGCCGAAAACAACATGGGGGGACCAAATTGGGAGAGTGCAGCGGCGTCATGTTTGGTCGTTTCACTTTCAAGTCGACCCCATGTGAGGCAACTTGCCAAGACCTTACATTATTAGAAAGAAGGAAAGAAAGGAAAATATCGGCAATAATTAAGTGGCCGGGAATTGCAATTCCGTGGCTTTGATGACGGAATTCAATTATGAGACAAAGACACGCATTACATTTCTACAACAAAGTACTCGCAGGATGTGTGTCCCCTGTTCTCCCTTCTATGTTTAGGACGTTACGCGTTTATCCACTTGACTCTCCCGAGTTTTCGAGTTCATGCTCATGCGTGTCGATTTTGTCGAACACAAATATATAAAAGATCAAATACGCCATGTGCAGTGCTACCTCAGAGCCACTTAAGGAGTTATATTTGGTCCTAAATATATAAAGGATCAATCTATTTTATCTTCAATCTTTTCTCAAAATATTTTTATTGGTTACGGAGGGTTTTTACGGAGGACTAATTTCAATTATCCAATGCATATGATTGAAGATGATAATTTAGGATGATCAATATATATTTGTGATAAATAATTAATTTAACTAAATTTTTTAATTTCTTCAAATTAATCATCAAGCTCTTATATTAAGAACTGAAAGTAGTATATATCTCGAGTCACTTATTTTATCCGCCAATGTATGTCGTTTTACTATCTTTCTTGTCATTGATATCAAAAATAAATTAAAAAATTCTCGTCATCATATATAATAAAGACATACATACATAAATTCTAAAGGACCCAAAAAAAAAAGTCAGATAGGCCACATTAAGTTCCGAATTGAATGATATATTTGACTCTTCAATAATGAGCCCCTCACTATTTTTTTTTTTTAAAATAAAGTTTAACTCCAGAATTAAGGCCCACCCCCCGGGGGAAAAGGAGGTGCTGATAAAGGTGCCCCGATGAAACCAACCCATATTAGTGAACTTGGAAGGACATGGAATGGCCTAACATAAAAATACGAGACATATATTTTTATTTTTGCAAAAATAACGGTAATAAATGAGAGAGTCAAATGAACAACTATATATAAATAATGTAGGAGAGAGGAAAGGCATGGCTCCGACCTAGGTATTTCTTTCTGGGTTGGGATTCCATATGGAATTTAGAAGCACATTTTGGGGGGGGGGGGGACAATATAGGCGCATTTTAAACTGGTTTAAAAACGAATTTCATTTACTCAACAAAAAAAAAACGAATTTCATTCACATGTAACGCCACATAGTTGTCAATGTTCAGTGGCTTCCTCTTCTCTCTCTCTCTGTTCCCGTCTTTGCTGTCTCGAAAGCTGCCTTCGAATTTATTACGACACGCATTGTAGTATTCCCAAAATTTTGGAACTTGCTATGACTCTGGGGTGTCAAAATATTTGACAGCTCATAGGCGAAGCCGAAGGATTTGGATTGTCCCCAGATGTTTTCAATTAAATTATGCTGTCTAAAATTAATATAAATTGTACTTATCTTATTGACCATAGAAATCGTTTTAACTAATTTATCAACGCTAAAAAATGATGATTACCCCATTGAATTCACATCAAATTTAAAAGCTTTCTTTGTTTGGTTCATGTTAACGAGGTTGTGAATAAAAGAACAAATACCATGAATAATATTTAAACATGAGTTACACGAATAAAATTAACAAATAGATATTAATTACGTTCCAAATAACTTATATTTTGGATTTAGCTATTATTCTAAAAGCCACTTCAGTTATAGACCGAACATAGTAGCTCCAGCCAAAAAAAATTGTCATTTTCAAGAAATTTTGAATGGGAACTTTTTTAAAAAACTTGACGATGACTTACAGAAAAATATACAAAAATAGTCATAACTTTTAAGTGCAAACTAGACCTTATATTAAAAATTGGAATGGTATTTCATATCATTTGTTTAATTAAAAAGTTGGTATGGTAGTAATATCTCTAGTCCTAATATAATAATCAAATAACTAATTTATGAATGCTAAGAAATTATTTAAGTTAGTTATACGTAACAAATGAGTATTATTTTTTAAAATATTCTGTTAATTATGTGTATTATAATAAAAAAATTATTTAATATATACAATTATTATAACATTATTTTTAAAAAACAAAATAAATTAAGTAATTTTAAATATTAAATTTATGATCAGATTAATCTCTAACTAAATCCGACCTTTAGAATACAAAATAATATTAAAATAAGGAGGGGTTGCGTGAGTGGGGTAAAAAAAAAAAAAAAGGAGATAGAAGTAGTGGGAGATGAGGTGGAAGTGACAAATGCGGCGAGACGCAGCGAAATGGGAAAAGGCATCTGCCCCGCTTTGCAATTTGCGGTTTTCTTTCCAAGCCCGCTCTTCCTCTATAGTATTTTACTGAAATGCCCCCGCCTCTTTAATTATTCCTCTATCTCAATTATTCCGAATCCATCGTAATGCTTTCCCTGTCTCCCGCCTTTGTGCTCGTGACGTGGCTCCCACTCACTCTCCTCCCTCCCATCTCACCGGACTTCCCATATCGCTACTTCCACTTCCTTCCTCTCTCTCTCTCTCCCCCTTCATTTTTCATGCTCTCTCAAATCCTAAAGGAATTCAATTCATTCTGGCCTGCCTTGCCTTGCCAGAAATCCAGTTTCTAACAAATATTGATTTAACAGCAAGAAATCCTATTCCAATTCCATTTCATTTCACCTGCCAACACAACCTTAGTCTTGCCGGACCCTGCACAGTACAAATATATTCGACATATTTGTTGGATTGTGTATCAAATGAGTTTAACCTTTTTCAGGCCTTCTTTTAATTTTGAGCCTTTTCATTCACGAGAAAGACAGTACAAGGATGTTGGTGAATAGAGCGCGGACACGAGTCTTACCCAGAGGGCATTGGTTTTGACGCGAGGAAGCCATGATGCAGGCAGGAACACCCACACACATAATTTTAATTTTATCAATGGGCCCTTCAGCACTTAAAAATTTATCCCCCCGATTCCTTTTACATCTCGTACGTCTCTTGGCCACTTTCAAAAGTCACCAAACCCTCTCTCTCTTTCTTGTGCTGTCCCCTCTCGTACGCTACCAATCCCCATTCCTTATTAGCCACACGTACAAGCCCCAAACCCTTGTACTTAATCAACAACTAATTTTGAGAGTTAGTATTTTACCTTTATTTTGGCCCTGGGAAAAAACCAGGGAGCTTGAGCCGTAAGTGTCAGTTGATAGTTATCCAAAACTCATAGGCTGACTAGGATCACATGTAGGCGGGTGCGTGCGTACCTGCATGCACAAAAACTGTGGGCGCATCAAAGCTGTTTCGTGGAACCCCAATTTTCAAACTTGGAATTCTCTTTTTCATCTTTTTGGCATATTGTGTTATATTATATGCGTCAAACTCAGCTTCATAACGTGTCTCCCTCGTTTTTTTCCTTAACTTTATTACTCATTCACAGTTTGACCCGGATCATGTACTTTTATGTATTTTGGATATCCGGCATTTTTAGACCATTTGCTTTGTATACACCATCTCATTTTTCAAGTTCGGCCATCACATGCTGCTTCCACTTCTATCATCCTTAGCCAACAAATACTAACAATCTATATATCTATATATATTCGTTCATTTCAATTTTCAACGCAGATGCCTAGATTGCATTGTTATTCGGATCCAGTCTGACTCACCTGACATCTCCGATATGTCTGAGGAAACGAATCACTTGGCGAAATTTTAGGATTCCGAAGATCCAAATACTGATACATTCATTTATATATATATATATGGGTTGTCTTGTCAAATACATTTTCGGAGCGAAAAACAGTGACAGTAATAATGGAAAAGGCTGCAAATATCTGAGATTTTTCTACTATTATTCATGTCACACGGCCATTACATGTATAGGCGAATTAAGTGAAAATAAGAGATACATTTGATTCTGGAAAATAGTAAACAAAACAAAGAGGGGAGAAGGATCACCGACGAACCTTCATCTTTCTCTCTTCCTCTACAAACGAAGACCAGAGAGAAATCCTGTGCCGGTATCTTGCAAAAACTCGCCGGATTCAAAATTTCCGGGAAAGCTGTCTTCCCCCAGATAAAGCGGATGAAGATTCTAAGAATTCTAATAACAGAGTTAATTTAATTATAGGAATATTACACCCAACCACGCGCGCGTGTGACCGTTTCCTTCACCAAAACATGAATCTCAGAATGATGGCGACCCCTCAGATGAAAAGATTGAGAAGCTTCGTGTCTCGGCCGGGAGGGCGGTGATCTCCGATCGCGCTTTCCAAACAAGTCGCCGTCGTGACGGATTCTTCCGAGTTCATCGACGGCGAACCCGGCCGTCGGACTTGTGGTCCGCAGCCGTAGGCAGGCACTCTATGGAGGAAGCTTGGCGTCAATCGCAAGTCGAGATCGGTCGTCTGGAGCATGACAGAGTCACCGGACAGTCCTAGTTTGCCACCGGGAGAGACCTTGTTATTATATCCCGAATTCGAGGTCGGATCTCGGATCCTCCCCATGTCATTGCACGTAACCTCCGCTTCGGATGCCTCGTCCGTAGCCGGAGCACGAGCCGGTGCATCCAACCCTGGAAGCTCCGGCATGGGCTTTAACGTGCCGCCGCGCAGCACCGTCTCCACGGCCGCCTCGCACACATGCCAGTTTCCCGTCCACAGAAGCCCGACAGCTCCGTTCACAGGGTTCACCGTTCGCCCACACGCTTCGAACAACAAGGACTGAAACAGAGCTGCTCACACACAGCAAACAAAGAAGCGTTAGGCAGATTTCCGGGAAGAGAACATAAATTCCTCTTTCTTTAACTTGTATCTCGCCTTTGAAAGCAAGGAAGTCAAATTATTATTATGAACGGAATGAATTACCAGGTCTCTGGTTGGGAGGGACGTTAGAAATAAACGACATGAGGCCAGCACGGCCAAAGAATTTAGCGACGAACACAGTGGCGTAGCCTTGGGCTTGAGGGCTATCGATCCACTGCAAGCAAGGCCGCAATATACAGTTCTCACTGCATCCCTTTCGAAGAACTCGGCAGCCGTTGCAACTCATGCCTTTCTGAAACTGTGTTTGTGATGACGAACACGAAATTTCGGAACAGAGCAAGGCGGCTATGATTTCTAGGAAGATCGAAGCCGCATGAAAGGCAGATTGATTGGAGAAGGAGGAGGAAGAAGGGGGCAAGGGGCTTTCTTTGGGGACAAGGAAATGGGAGAATTTGGGAAAGGTGAAGAACAGAGGCAAAGAATGAAAAACCAGGTGTGGTTGGGGTATAAATAAAGGGGCGAGGAGATGAGAACTGAACTGGAGGGAGTAGGGTGGGCAGGGTTAGGATTTAACTAGGGTTAGGTTAAGTGGTTTGATTGGTGAGAGAGTGGGGTTGAGGGGAGTGTGGTGTGGTGGGGGGAGGGAGAAATATGTGAGGATATGTGTGCGAGAGAGAGTGCGTCACTTTTGTGTGTTGTTATTGCATGCGGGCGCGAGATTCTTCCAAAGTTTTGGGCGCGAGCGGCTCCGTGTTTCCGCGGTTGCGTGTTTATCCACCGTTCGATCGTTTTTCTTTTCTTTTCTATTTGAATATTTTAATTTCTTTTTCCTTTTCAACTGTGAGTCTACTTTTCTATTTAATTATTTATGTGTAGATTCCATAAGTTTCCTAAATTGATTTTGTTGAATTATCAAAATTTAACTTATTAAAAATTACTCCTCGGTCCTTAATATAGGACCCAATTATTGGGTTGGTTTGGTCCTAAATATAAGACCCATTATCATATTTATTATTTTCTCTAAATTACCCCTATAGATACTCCATCAACCATAATCAAGTAGAAGAGGAGAGAAGGCATTAAAAAAGATGATTATGGTGTTTTAGGAAAAATGTGTCACTTTTCTTATAGTTAACAAACTTACCTAACTTCCTTAATTTAATCAAATTAGTTAAATGGGTCTATATTAAGGACCGGAGGAGTACTTTATATGATAAAAAATTACTTCTTGATATGAAAACCATAGTCCATCAGTGAATCTTAAAAAGTTTCCGCAGGAGGAAAAGCTAAGAAGTTGGTATTATTTATAAAAATAAAAAAAAATTGAATTCGTTTATAAAAAGTTAATAACCCTATGGCCTAGTGGTGGGAAGGTTTTTTCCTGCTTACGGGGAGTTAAAGTATAAGCATCAACACATTATACCGTGATATTAAAATATTTAACATTCTTAAATTACTGTTTAATAAAAGTGATGCATTTGTTCAAGAGGTGTTGATTTTTAAAACAATTTGTTGTCTGCCTATATTGAACGGAGATAATAATAGAGGGAGTTGAGACTAGTCTGGTCCTGTTATAATAAAATTCATAACAAGTATGCAACTTTACGGGATCATTTGAGATTTGCATATTTTTCCGGTCTTTAATATAAGGGATGATTTAATTTTTAATTTTTTTATTTTAATCCTAAATATAAAATGCTAATTCATTTTGTTTTTCATATTTATTTATTTATTTTTAAATAGTCATTCTAATAGTAGTAGTTCTAATTAATAAACTTAATTAGCAAAATTATTTTAAGAAAGAAAACACATATTTATTACAAATAACTAACTTGATTAGTTTTTTTAATTTATTCAAATTAGTTAACTAAATGTTATACTACCTCCGGTCCTAATTATAAGAGTTAGTTGACAAATTTGAAGAGATTAAAGAAATAAGTAAGTTAGTTATTTGTAATAAATAAGTGTTGTTTTCTAAAATATTCTTACTAATTAAGTCTATTGACTAAAACTACTATTATTAGAAGGATTATCTTAAAAAAAATACATAAACATAAAATATAAAATAGATTAAAATATTATATTTAAGATCAAAATAAAAATCAAATAAAATTTTATATTAAGTATAGGTAGTAATAACAACAGGAGTTCTACCGCACAAATAGGGGCGGAGGCCGTGAAGACGGGGGAGGGTATTGTGGTAAAGACAAGAAAGAAAGGGGGGTGGAATGACGAAACGGGGCATGGAAGTAGGGGGTTATTGCAATGATGACGGAGGGAATATATAACGGAGAGGGCGTGGCAGAATAAAATATTGAGCACTAAGGGGGAGAGAATAAAGGCTTTTAGTTTAATTAATTCAATGAGGAAAAGTGGGGGAAGGAGGGAAAGCACTAATGAATGATTGGGGGGGGATGGCGGAGGGAGGGGAAACAGGAAGGGAGGCTTGCGTAGCAGCTGGGACATGTAAATTTAATTAACAAAAATAAAATAAAGAAATGGGAGAGAGGGTAATGTTTCCAACACAAAAGCAGAGAGGCGCTTGTCCCTGTGCCTTCCAACCCCACAGCCACGCCTCCTCCTTGTCCTCTCATGTGCTCTTCTCTCCTCTCTTTCCCATTTGTCAATTCCCATACGCTATTGCGTTACGTACCAACCTACTCCTCCCTACTCCCTCATTTTTTTCCCCTCGTACGGAATCAGCTTCAATATTTATTATAATACCGTAAACTAATCTGAATTTAATATTAACAGTTTATATTTAATTTTTTTAACTTTTAATTTAATTGATATATAATCCAAAATAAATACAATATTTCAACTTTTATTTTTTTTAAAAATAATTTATTAATTAAAAATTTTAAATTTAGACCATTAAAATTGTATTTAAATAGTATTCATTGAAAGTATTAAGATGCTTATTAGTATAATGAACACTAAAATTACTTTTCAATTTCACACATGTCATCAGCTTTCTCATTCATTCTTTCCTCACTAATTCCTACGTTAATTCAAAAGTTGCTTCTGAAGATACAAAACACGATCTCGAACTTACCTCAAGTGATTCTGAAATATATGGAAAAAAGAAAATCTTGTAAACTCAAAAGTGTTTAAAATAAGCATTCCCAAACCTGGCTTAAATATCTGTTCTGGGTGCTTTTGTTAAATTGAGTTTTGCTCCTCAAACTTTGTTTTCCAAACCTGGCTTAAATATTTAAGGTTGCTTTTACTAAATCGGATTTTCCAATCTGAACTCTTTGAATGCCATTTTTCTACTGTTGATACCCAACATGAACGCAGGGACATCAAATTAAACGCATTAGCACATTAAATTCAAAGGGTGAAAAATAATAAAGCTACGAGTATTGACCAAAGATTTGAGGTGGGAAGGTGGAGTAGTTTGGAAACTTAGGCAGCACGAAACTGAGAGTTAAATAATTAACTTAGGGAGTGTTTGGATAAAAACCAAACCATGGTTTTAGAAGTGCTTTTACGGATTACGAAGTAAATATGTGGAGGAGGTTATCTCGTTTTGCGGAAAAGTGCTTCTGAAACCATGGTTTTGGAGCATCCAAACAGAGCCTTAATGCCATAACCATTGCGTTGAATAGCGTACAGGCAACAGGAATCACCACTTGATATTAAAATAACAATTAATTTCTTTTACAAAAATTAGTACGTAACTGTCCACCATTATGTCACATAAACTTATTTCTTCTATCGGTTGACTTGTCACATGCATGCATTTGCCCCTTTATCAGTGAAAGCCTCGCGTGCAGTGCTATAATATAATGCTAGTAATTAAGTACCAGTATATCAGAGAAACAGAAAAATACAATCAATAAGACCATAAGAATTTAACTTAAAATATATTATTTCCCGTTATAATTATAAGACCTCGTTAGTAGACTATAAATAAGATCTTATAATTAAAATCAGAATTAGTATTCCTCCAGTCCTAAATATACTGTATAAGGGTCTTATATTTAGGATCGGAAGATTATATTAATGAATATGACTAGGTATTAATAATACATACCAGCATGCCTCATGTATTCTAGAAAGAGTTGGAAAGGATGGTATTGTTCAAGGTTACTGAATGATTAAACCAACAGAGTCTCGTGGAATTCACACTGGGATCGTTTTGATCACATATAATATTTGGTTAATAAGTTGTGGGTAGCATTCCGAAATATTTTTTCATCTAATATCTTAAAATATTTTATAATCTGTATAATATTTGAAAGTATTTTTTAAATACGTTTACCATCCTAAAATATTTTGTTGTACAATTTTGTCATTGAAATATTTTTTTAAGAGCAATTATGCCCTTAGAGCATTTTGAAGAGTAATTTTAGCCTTGCCCTTAATCTTTCAAAACGTTTGTTAAATGTATGTACATCAAACATGCACTAAAAAATGTTTTCACTATTTTTTACAATATTGAATGCATTTGAAAAAATATTTTAATGTGTTAAATAAATCACAAAATATTTTAGAGTATTGGGTACACACGAGAAAAAATATTTCAAAGTGATATATGAACCTTAATCATATAATATTTCATTAATTTTTGAACGACACATAATTATTTGAATTAGTATTCGTGGATAAATTGTTCATTACTGTTTTAAAACTGGACAGTCATCTTGTGGAACTCGTAAATTAAATATGTATGAAGATCATATTAACTAAATTACGAGGTTAAAAAATAATTAAAAATAGTTAAAAATAATAAATATGCAAAAATTAGACTTTTTTTCTAAGTATATCCTTATTTAATGAGGGAGTAAATAAAAGGAATGAGATAAAAGATGAGAACAGGGCAGGAGGGAATAAATACTAAACTAGTCCCCCCGCGGAGAGAAACAGTCTGTGGCTAATATTTGTAAATGAATTATGAAGGTGAATACTAGTAGCATATTTGCAAAAATGAGGATCCGCATAGGAGCCACGTCAGCTGGGAAATTAAAAAATGGCCTGGGGTTGGGCTGGACCCACAAATGTCGAGGGACGCATAGTATCAGTTGGGAGTGGCGTGACTAAAGAGTATAGAAAATAGAAGCATCACACGGCACACGCTCCTCATTCATTTAATTCGGTTCGTATAAACTTTCTTACCTGGGAAATCACACACAAGGACTACGAGTATACAAAGGCTACTTACCACAGATTTGCAAAATTGCCTAGAAGTATCAATGTTTAAAAGACTACAGATAACCAACTAGTATTGATCCAAGTAGAAGGGATTTGGATACCTTAAACATTATGTACTAGGTTTGATTTTTGGGACAGTGTGTATGGAAAAAAACACTGTTAGGAGGGATCCGTACTACGGTGTCTGACAGTACTTTGAGAAATTAGTTTTTTACTGTTCAGATAGGAAGATATTTGGAGGGGGAAGACCGCGGATAAACATTCATAGCAAAGTTGCGATTTATTTTTCATGTTTTGCAATTTACTTTTTTGCGGTC